CCGTAAAACATATTAAGAGCGCAAGAAGCGAAGCTCTTTTCCGGTAACATGTACGAACAATTGAAGTCATGGTAACGTCGAATGCTATGCTTCCAAAATCCTTCGTCACTGCTAGAATAGAGTTACCGCGGTCCTATTTTTACAATGCTGTTTAGCTTTGATACACATTCTCAAAAATATCTCTTTATTTGATATTTTTTTTCAGTGGTTATGTAAATTCATGACATTAAAAAATATAGAAACTGAAGCTTCTTTCAAATTTTCAGTCTTTTCTTCTCTCCACCCAAACCGGAAGTATATAGTAACTACCAAACCAGACGGAAATCCGGATATGTTTGGGCTATTGTGATTCTCTTTTTACACGATTTAGAGGGATCAGGCAAAGTTTATCATGTCGGAAAATAAAATTGGAATTTAATCACCAATAGACTTAACTTTTATAATAACAGATAACAACAGTTATATTTTATAAACAATACATCTTCAAATATGAAGTTCCTCTACTGGGCCTCACTCTTTCCGCAACATTACGCTGAGGCCATGGACGGGGCAATTAAATGCAACAGTACCAAATGCATTTGTGTTTTCTCTTGAACTGCATTATTCATTCGAATGCTTTTCTTTACTCATTATTAAGTTTACATTAATTATTTTATCGCTATAAAACGAATAAATATATGATATTTTAAATAATGTTATTTAGAAAATAAGATTGAAAAAAAACAGCATTTAGACGCTTCGCTCGTTTCAGGCAATGTCTGTTTTCAAAAGGAATGATTTTGCCCAGCAACAGATTCAAGTATATTATAAAAAAAAATTACAGGTACATTTTGTATGTATTAAAATGATTAATGTTATGATTCAAAATTTATACTATACTATCGAAACAAATGTACGAGCTTCGCTCTCTCCAGGCCATGCCTGAGTCATATTATTGTATGCTTTTAAAGGTAATAAATAATTCCACTCTGTGTATCAAAGATTATTGGTAATAAGAGCGTAGCTCTCGGGCGCCGAAGGCTTTAATGGTAACTCATGCGTGCGTAAACAGAGTTGCTTCCCCTTTCTACACATTGCCTTTAAAAAAAATTCGTCCCACAGTAGACGTCCAGTAGGGAAACAGGAAGTGTATCCTTGAAGCAAAGACAATTGTGTTTCAACCCATACATGAACATCTTCATATAGTGAAAACAATACCCATGTTTTATTAATTATTTATTTAGGTAAAAACTAATATACATTATGAGTGAAAATATCGATCACATACATTTTGATACTAGCAGGCATGAAACGTCGTTCAGAGATTATCATACTATGACATCACAAGCACGTCACACTCCATCGGCATTCATCGGTTATTTCCGGAAGGATGAAAAATAACCGGAAAATCTTGGAACTGATAGCCGTTGCATTTATCTCTTTGTCGGTGCTTCATGACTTTTTAATTTCTGTTTTTGTCACAGGCACAAAAAGTATAAACGCGGATGTTTTCTGAAGATCCTTTTTGTCATCAACCATGTTCTGTTAACATTTCTACCGGGAGATATTTTCAAAAAGAGCCGCATTAAACCAGCTTTTGATTTCGATTTGTTGTGTATATGAACGAAATAATTAACGTTTTGGAAAGTCTGGTTATAGTCTTTACATAATTCATGTATGCATCACCACTCATAAAAGAAACAATGGATAATTCATTTATGTCGAAATCAACAATAATTGTCCAGAAAACAAACCCGAGTTCAACGCCCTTTCCCAGCAACGTATTACTTTCCACAACGCATGCCGATTTATAACTAGTTACAGACAGAAACTGTTTAATTTTAGTTGGCATCATTACCTGTAAAACCTCAGTGACAGTTACAAAATTTGAAATTCAATCCGGTGTTTCAAGATGGAACAACAATTCTTAATATCGATATAACGACAATTTCGGTTACATCAAAGTATTACAATGTTTTCTTTTTTTTAATTTCATCTTTTTAACTAACATCTCAATACATGTACTTTTATAGACTTATCGACAAATATGTAATATGCACTTTTTTCTATAGCAATTACCAAACAGTTTTTTCCCACGTTGTTTCAACAATTCTTTTTGTGACCTGACAAACGCACGCAGAGGATTTAATATCCGGAGAAAACCCGCGTAGTCGGACAGGTAACCGGGATTGAATCCGGCCATCTTGGTGAAGACGAGCGCGCTATCCACTGCGCCACTCGACCGATCATATACGTCACCCCTGATATTTTTGTTTTTGAGCTAATATTTTCAACTTTAAAGATCTTAGCAGTTTAGTTGACTGGGCATTCACACGAAAAAATGGTGAGGAAAACTCTAATTTAAAATAACTAAACAGGAGAAAATTACTTTTCAGAGGGTAGAAAGAAAATTATGATCTCGCTTCTAGTTATGCGAACTTTCTGTAAACGGAATTGCTATTTTTTACAGTCAAACGTGTAACACACTGACAGCTTCAAATGATATACATAAAAGCCAAGCCAAGCACTCACTACCATATTGCTGTACGATAAGAATTTATTGAAATATCAATTTGGGCCCGGTCAGTTTCGGCCAATGATACCGTGACAAGCTCGGCCCATGAAACACATAAAAAGTCGTAAAATTGGCGGTAAAATCTGACGTTGCATGCTTTATGACGTCATAATTAAGCTGATTCCAATGGGCCGAATTTACCCGAATGCCTATCCGAACTTATCCCATGGCGGGGCTCGTTCGGCCATCCGATCATCCGACAGGGAAAATTAGATAATGTTCAAAAACGGACGTGCTGCCATACTTCCCAAAACGGACTTTAAAAAAGGGCCGAATTTGCCCCGATCTCCCCTATTGTTATGTCGGTCTTAATCTCATTAGAGTTTATGTTTTATTGTTATCCCTCGACTAGCAGACTTTAAATAAATTTTATCTTACCTCATTCTGAAAGCAGTATTATCTCATTTTGAATCAGTAAATATCAGAGATCAACAAAAGCTTCGCTCTTTTAAGACTTTGGCTTTTCATATTACTCTTGAAATCTCTAGGGTGTATTGCTTGTTGAAGCGTGTTAACTGTCATGACAGATGCCATCGGGCAGATATGCAAAAAAAAAGGTAAAGTAACGTATATCCGTTTGCATATTTACATATCTAATCACGAAAGAAACATCATACAATCATTATCACAAAGAAACTGTAGATAAATGTCAAAATTTGGTAGCAAGGTAATCGTTATTGTCATCAAGTAGGTACATGTCGC